ACCACCAGTTTCTCGGCCTAGACCACTTATCATGTCACACCCAAGTAACCCCCCTTTATATTCAACTGTGGTGCAACAGAGGACAATGACTCAATCATAATCAAAATTCAGTGGGTGATAATCATTCTAACTCAATCGTCACAAACATTCATAATCTATATCAATTCATAATTCATAAACATTTTTATATACTTAGAAGCTTGAAAAATCATATCAACAAGAATCATATTAAAAACTGTTAAAATCTAACATAATAAAAATACGTACATAGTAGTTTGTACAATCTCTAAAACTATACAGTCTAAAAGGTGTTCAAAATCACAGTTTGCTACTCTCCCTGGTGTTCCTTACCTATTCTTGAAAATCAAACACGTAAAAGAGTGAGCTATAAGTTAAACGAAATAATCAAGGCTAAAGTAATATTTTATAGATGGAAAGAAACCAAAGTGCATGATCATTTTTAACACTCATGCATGATAGAGGAACATAAATATAAACATGCATCAATCATATCAGACATGTAAGAAAAAGAGTCATGAAATGCAGTAAACATAAGTAATTATTTCAAGCACAAATCTCATTTCTTTCCTGTGCAATCATATGAATATTCATAAAGATTCATAATCAATAACTGAAGTCTTAGGAATGTTACTTATAATTGCATAGATTTTAACTACATTCATGTCATTAGGTCTTCACCCAGATTGAAGGCTAAAATAACTATTGATAAAGGGTGAGTCACTCACAATATTGCAGCCATCAATAGCCGCCCGATACCAACATTTTCCGAATTTCTATCCCTACCTAAATATCAAAAGTTGGGAATACATCATTTCCTATCATCCATACTTGTTACAATACATGTGACTTTCCTTTAATCATAATTTTTGTAATAATCATTCATCATAGGCAAATCATTTATCATACGTCTAAACACTAATATATGAGTATCTACAAGTGACTTTCATAAACATACTCATCATATAAATAAAAATGGTAAAAATCATAAATGTGATATTGTCAGTTCAAGCTTGCATTCGTGCTAATATGTGCAGTCTAAGATGAAGAAATTCTAAATGTAATCGTATGTCAAAAGGAATTACATAGAAATCCTACATAAAGTTATTATTCTTAATTTAGTACAATATTATTTCACGGAATCGATGGAGCAGTCCTATTACAAATTTTCTCGAGCTCACTGCTTAGAGCAAACCACCTATAATCATAATACTCATAGAAATTTCGTAAAATTCTAACTTATGTCTTGATTTAATCCCAAAATGATGCACTTGTTATAACTTGAAAGAGTTTCCTCATTTTTTTCTATTCCTTTCTTCCTCCCTTCTTTCCTTCTCTGCTTCCTAATCTCTTGGTTGATTTCTTGCTAACAGCTCTACTGAGAGCCAAGAATCTAAGTTCGCAGTTCCTGACATGTTCTGCCTCATGTTATAGTGATAGGGAACGTAGAAGTGTATCGGCTCGTGTTAAATCGCAAAAAAAAAAGATCATAAGGAAATGAATGTTTCAAATATCATAAAAAAAGGGGATTTTCTTACCAAAAGCTTCCCAAAACTCCAAAATCTGTTATAGTGATAGGGAACGTAGAAGTGTATCGACTCGTGTTAAATCGCAAAAAAAAGATCGTAAGGAAATGAATGTTTCAAACATCATAAAAAAAGAAGATTTTCTTACCAAAAGCTTCCCAAAACTCCAAAATAGAAGGATCGGCTCTCATTCGATCGCTTGCTCATGCCTACTACAATGTTGGATCGCCGAAATGCTTTTGGCTCACGGAAATGAGGAATTGGGGGAGGGGAAAGGGGAGGAATGCGGCCTTTAACTTAGCTCCAATTAATTCCTAGTCATTTGATTATATCCGACTTTTGCATGTCAAGTAAAGTGTGGCAGAGTCGGTTGGCTACAGTGCCGACCATGATTAACGGGTCTTAATTTGGTTAATAATGTAATTGATTAAGTTTAATTAAAGTTTTATTTCATATTTTTATATCTTCCAATGCATAAATAATTCATTCATAGTGTTATATATCAAAACGTAGAATTTTATATGCTTTGGTTGGATTTCAGCGAATGTGAACATTGAGGTACATTTAAAAAAAATTCCTGATTTGTCCAGAATTGGGTACTACATATCACTACTGTTTACTCAAAAAGATCTTATCCCTTTGTGCTTCTGATCCTAGTCCAGCACCTGTATTATATTTTTGAGTGGCTCCTCCTCCTAGTGACTTTGATTTACCTATTACTCTTCGAAGAGGTAAACAACAACGCTCCTATCTCATTTCCTCGTGTGTTAACTATAACCAATTATCTTCTACTTGCTCTTTTTTTTTTTTTTTTTTTTTTTTTTTGCTTCTCTTGCTATGTTGAGATCCCAAAAAACTGTTTAGCAAGTCATATCTCATTCTTATTGGGTAGTAGCGATGCTTGATGAAATGAATGCTTTAACTAAAAATGGAATTTTGTAACTAGTTGAACTACCTTTTAGCAAGAAGGTTGTTGGTTATAAATGGGTCTTTGCAGTTATGTTTTATTTTGATGGATTTGTAGATCATCTCAATGCTCGGTTGGTTGCTAAGGGCTATGCTCAAACTTATGGGATTGACTACTTGGATATGTTCTCACTGATAGCAAAGTTGACTTTTGTTCGCCTATTTTTATCCTTAGTAATTGTCCCTTGCACTGCATAGTAGTCTATTAGAAGAAGTTTACGTGGAGCAACTTTCTGAGTTTGTTGCTCAGGGGGAGTTTGTGAAAGTATGACATCTTCAGAAGTTATTGTACGGATTGGAGCAAAGTCCTCGAGCATGATTTGAAAAATTTTGTCAAGCATTAGAAGAGTATTGGATGCGGAAAAGTAAATGTGATCGCATTGTATTCTACAAGAAATCTCCTTCTTGGATAATTCTATTAGTGGTTCATGTTGATGGCATTATTATTATTAGAAGCAATGTGCGAGGAATCTCATTAGTGAAATCATTTCTCAAAAATTTGTTCAATGCTAAAGATATGGGTTCCTTGAAATATTTATTTGGGATTTAAGTTATCAAGTAGCAGGAAGGGCGCCCATCTTCCTATCTTAATGAAAGTATGTTTTGGATTTGTTAGCAAAAACTTGAAAATTAAGAATCAAATAGTGCAATACTCTGATGCTTCCTAAACATTTATCGATGATGGAGAGCCTTTTAATGATTCTGAATGATATAGGAAGTTTGTGGAAAAATTAAATTACTTCACAATGACTCGCCCTGATATTACTTATTAAGTTAGCACTATAAGTCAGTTCATGTCTTTTTTCACAGTTCATCATTAGTCAGCTTTTGAATATATACTATGCTACCTTAAAGGAGCTCCTTGACAATGTATTCTATATCAAAATCATAGGCATTAAACTATTGAATGTTTCCTAATGCATATTGGGCGAGTTCCAAGATTGATCGGAGATTCATTACTAGATATTGTGTTTTTTTTGGCGGTGATTGGTCTCATGGAAGAGTAAGAAACAGATTGTAGTGTCATGATCCAGTGTAGAATCTAAGTATCGAGCAATGGCACGAACTTCGAGTGAATTGATGTGGTTCTCCTAATTCTTGACCAAATTGGGTTTTAAGATGACAGTTCCAACAAAATTGCATTGTGATGACCATGTTGCAACTTTGTTTTCTATGAGCTAAGCATATTGAGATAAATTACTATTTTGTTTCGTAAAATGATTCAACAAAATTTAATTTCCACAGCTCATGTAAAGACTGGGTTCACAATTGCCCTTAATGGAGCTAGTGTCACTCATATTTGCGACAAGCTAGCATGACAAATATATATGCTCCATCTTGAGAGGGAGTGTTATGGAAAGTAATAGATTTAAAGTTTCTATATTAGAAAGCTTGATGTTAGATTATCTAATCAGAAGAATTCTAATTACATGATTTTTTTATATGGAGATATTCTTAATCTTTAGAGAATGGGAGTATATATTAATATGTAACATATATTTTCAATCGAGAAATAAAAGAAAATAGTTGCTTCCAATTAAAATTTGTAAACACAAAAGAATTGGATGGTATGTAAATGTCCCTTTTCTTGTTTTTGGGGGGTTGGGGTAGGAGAGGGAGAGGGACATTTACATACATACCATCCAATTCTTATGTGTTTACATATTTTAAAAGGAAGCAACTCTTTTCTTTGATTTCTCAATTCTTATCTATTAAATTATCTAACACCTAAGCTTTGTTTTTGTACATTTGACCACCCAAAATATTTCATATCACATAAGAAATACCATCATTTTGTATTTTAAAAAGTGAGATGCACCTTCTCATGTATGGGTAACGTGTTATGAATGTAAAAATCGAAGCTGAGGTGTTATATATATTATTTCATAAGATTGAGTGGTATGTATGCAAATCTTCCTTTTTTCCATTCTGAGGAATAAAGCGAAGAAAGGGATGGAAAAAAATCATAGTACAATCTTTACATGTTGTTCAGTCTTTGAATATGGACCATTTGTTATATTTTTGTGGTTATATTTCATTTACTTTCTTATGGCTTCTTTTAATCCCAATGAAAGAATGAATCAGTCGCATTTTCTTTCTTTTTTTTTTTTTGGAAAATTTTTATACACACTGGTCAATTCCTATGTTGTTTACCCCACATAGTGGGATTAGGGCTTTGTTGTTGTGTTGTTGTTGTTGCTCAGTTCCCATGTATTTGCATATCCAACACTTAAACTTCAATTTTTATATAGATGCCACTTTACCTATGCATGAAAAGATGTATTTTACTTTTTTAAAAGTGACTATCATGGTATTTTTCTGTGATATGAAATATTTGCGTGGTATAAATATAAAAAAGTAGAGTTTATGTACTAGTTTTGTAAATACATAGGAATTTGGTTGCATGTATCTAAGTGCCTACTTTTTTTTCCTTCCAATATCTTTCCCTTTTAATTTGCTTTGTTTGAATTTCTGTCTGATGAAATACAGTTTTTCATTCATGTTTGAGAGCGAACAGATCCAACATGGTGATCTAGTACTAATGGATGTGGGATGTGAGTTTCATGGTTATCTTAGCGACTTAACACGCACTTGGCCGCCATGTGGCGACTTCTCCTTTCAGGTACTGCCTCATGGCTCCTAAATCAAAATATAAATTAAAATTCTTTTGGAAATTTTACATACATACCACACAATTCTTGTGTATTTATGTGTAAAATCTAAAGTTTTATATCTACATTTAGGGGGATTTACATACATAGCACACAATTTTTTATGTATTTACATATTTACACACAACACTCAAATTTTGAAGATCACATCAAAAATAGCACAATTATCACTTTTTAAAAGTGAAGTACACATTTCGTAGCATAGGTTTAAGACACTTATGTAAATATGAAAGTTTAGGTGATATGTGAATACATAAGCATTGTGTGCTACATATGTAAATTTTTCTTACATTTATAACAATTTAGCATCATAATTAGATCAAAACTTATGCATGAACATGCACATTTCACCTAAAAAAGATGAGTAAGAGTGTTATGCTTATAAATATTGAAGTTTAGGTCTATACATAAGAATCATGTGTTTTGTATGTAAATCCCCCATTCTTTTTTTGGTAGTTATAGTTTTTTTAATGGAGATCTTTCAATTGTTATTTATATGAGCATTTACATGCACGCCGCCCAGTTCCTATGTACTTACACATCTAACCCCTAAACTTTACTATTTACATTTATACCACCCAAATCTTTCATATCACAACAAAAATATCACTATTTTAACTTTTCAAAATGCGTAGGTAAGATGGCATATATATGTAATAATTGAAGTTTAGGTGTTAGCTATGTAAACACATAAGAATTAAGTGGTATGTATGTAAACCTTTCTTTCTGTTATGTTTGCTATATCTTATTCTTGTTTCGGATCTAGGAAGAACTATATGAGCTCGTGCTTGAGACTAACAAGGAATGTATCAAGCTTTGTGAACCAGGTGCGAGCATTGAAGAGATACATAATTATTCAGTATGTTTAACTAATCTCTTTCTCTCGAGTATTTATCAAATCCTTTTTTATTATTATTATTTTAATTTTTGTACTAATATTTCTATTTTAAATGTGTATTTTCCTTTATCTTTTCTATGTTTTGAAGCGGCGAGCTTTTAGTACACAATACCGACTTTTGTGTGTCTGCATGCACAAGGCATGCATGTATTTTGATGAAATACAAGATATTCTTCAAGCATGTTCTAGAATTCTCTACATCTTTCTAGTATTTTTGGATTATTTCTGCTGATTTTATTTCTTTCTAAATGTTTTGATTTTTATTTTAATTTTAGGATTATCTTCTTTTTTAATTTGATGATAGGATTTATCTATTTTAGGACTTGCTTGATTTACATTTTAAATAGTTTATGATATTTTTCAGTTACATAAATACTACCTAATTTCTATGTATTTACATATATAACAACTAAACTTTGCATTTTACATTTATACCACCTAAATCTTTTATATCACATAAAAATACAACCCATTTTAAAAAGTGAAATAAACCTTTTCATGCATAGGTAAGGCTGTATGTGTGTAAAAATTGAAGATCAGGTGTTAGATATGTAAATACATAGGAATTGAGTGGTATGGTTGAAAATCTTTCAATTTTTTTTCCTATAAACGGGATTTGAGTGCTTGGATATCCTATTATGAATTAAATTAAGAGCAATTCTTCGTTTTCCTCCATGATTTCCTCTCCATTCACATGCCATCTCTGAAACAAAAACCTCATTGTGAAAGCTTCATATATTATTCCTAGAAGATCTATTGAAGTCTTCTCTCATTACTTCAAATTGAAATCAATGTATTAAATATTACCAGCTGCATCGATCTCATCAGCCTTTGAGTTTAGGATATTATATATCACACAATTCTTTTGTATTTACATATATAACACCTAAAGTTTGATATTTACATTTATAACATTTTGGTGTCGAGAAATATGCATGAAAATGTGTACTTCAATTTAAAAAGATAGTAGTACTTTTGATGTTATGTTAAAGATTGGAGTGTCTATGTAAATATGAAATTTTTGGAGTTTGATATGTAAATACGTAAGAATTGTGTGGTATGTTTATAAATGCCCCAAATTTATTTCATTGAGATCCTTCGCATCATAATGACACTGATGCAGGCCGGATGCAGGAATGTCGTGACCACAGCATGCTTCCGCTAGCATACCTAGACCGGTCTTTTCTTGCTGTGAATTCCGGTTGGTCCCTTGGGCCCCCTCCTAGTTTTCCTACATCATAATGACACTGATGCAGGCCGGACGCAGGAATGTCGTGACCACAGCATGCTTCCGCCAGCATACCTAGACCGGTCTTTTCTTGCTGTGAAGTCCGGTTGGTCCCTTGGGCCCCCTCCTAGTTTTCCTATCATAAATTTGCTTTCGGGTGAGTCTAGGGTGCGCTTTTGTCGCATGTTTGTTCAGGACAGCCACCGGCATCTCTTCTTTCCTCCTCGGGCTATAAACAGGGGTCCGAGTGGTAGTCTGGCTGTATCTCACTCCTGAGGTGATGATTATCCTTTCTACCCTTCGCCCATGCCTGCCTACATCACCTTCCCTTCATCCAGCTCTTTGTGCCCTTACCACCGTCCCCCCAGAAAACAGCCGGCCG